TATATATATATATATATATATTCGTGCCCAGTGTAGGCTGGGGAAGGCGAGGAAGCAACCACCAGTCGTATATATATATATATATATATTTATATTTGTGTTTATATATATATATATCCTTCCTTCAGGTATTGTCCTTGTGTGCGCAGTGGCTTACATACGCCGCGGGAGAGGCACATCAAGAAAGGAAAGGGGGGGGGGAAGGGGGAAAATTAGTCGGGAATTTAAAGAGAGATTGGCGGAGGGACGGTGTTCCCTCTTTAACTGTTTTCACTCCTCCCCCGCATTCACTTTAGCTTGAGACATGATGATTTATCCACGCATGCGGGTGGAGGTCTCGTATTCCTCCACCCTTATCATGTGCTGGGCAGCACTACTGGCCGCGATGTCGTGGGCTGCCGGCCGCCCGATGCAGGGCTTGACCACTCTGGTCCTCTCCACCATCGCGTTGACGTCGCCCCACGGAGAGAGTCGGATGCTGCTTCCCATGTTGTTCTTGGCAGAAAGCTTGTTAGACGACATACTTTCACCAGGTCGTCCACCACTCGACTTCTACGCGTCAACGCTTCTCTCCTACCTCACGCTTGCCGTTGCACGCCGCGCAAGGATGAAGAAAGTGGATCGAAACACCTACCCAGGGGCCGCTCTGTACATCGCTGTTGGTATTTCAGTGCTGTATTTGAATTCTGCGGATTGTGTCTTTTCCTTTGGTGGAGCCGTGTTTGTGATCTCCGGCCTTTTATTTTATCTCGCGCTTATCCCTGTTTTGGGGGAGAATGAGGCCGTCCTGCTCGGCTCCTTGGTGGGCTTTCACGTTTGCGACATGGTGACAAACAATGGTACACACGCGGCTGAGGCGGCGCTCCAGGCGCCTGGGTTCGTCACACGGAAGACGCATATCGTTGGAAGAGGGGCTGTTATGTCTGCCATTGTGATGGCTGTGGTGATGTTTCTCGGTTCTAGGTGTTGCATGGTTCCCCGTGTCAACATCTCTAAATCCTCGGAACGAGTTATTAGCGTCCGCCGTATCACAATTCTCTTTTGGTGTACACTAGCCTGTGTGGTGGGCGCAATGTATGCGGTGGTGAGCGCGCAGCTTGGAGAAAGTGCCTTGAGGTGGGTTGTGGGGTATCTTGCCTCGAGTCGATACCGTCTATGGATACTCATCATGTGGGCGATCACCATTCCATCCTCGGTTGTCGTTGTGGAGAAATTGACGGGAGGCCTGCGCAAGACTGCAAGGCGGAAAATGTTTCACTTTCTCGCTGTCGTTGTCTTCACTCCTGTGGCTCTTGTGGACCCCTATTTTTTGTCTCTCTCGCTCTCCTCGGCTACCGCGATCAGCAGTATTCTGGAGCTCTCGCGCTTTTACGGCGTCTACGGGTCCTCCACCGTCAATGCGTTTATGCTGGGGCATATCGATGGGCGCGAGTCCATCCAGGGTGCAATACGCACACACATTTATCTCATGTATGGACTGGGCCTCTCAATGATGCTGCGTTACCGCCATGAGCAGCGAGAGACGGTGGTGGCGTTTTCGCGTTGGATGGAGCTCTCCATTAACATCATTCCGGGTCTCGTGGCCCTGGGTATCGTGGACGCGTGTGCCGGCATTGTGGGCAGCACCTTCCTCCTCTCCTATCGCCGTGCCTTGGGACGCTACCTAAGTAACTTCCTCTTTACCGAGAAGGCAAACACATCCATAACGCACAAGACGACCACAGGGACCTTTGCAGGGCTAGTGTGTGGTGTCCTGTTTTGGTTCTTTGTCTTACTGGTGGCGGGAACCGTGAAGGACGCGGCTGCGGGGCACAGTTTCATTCTCATCCTTGTTTGTAGCCTCACCGAATGCTTCATCGAGGGCATCGACAACCTACAGCTCCCGTTAGTGGTCGATGGGGCCGCCCACACACTACTGGCATTGCTGCTCTATAGCAAAAGAGCGTGGGGGTGATTCGAATAACGGCAAGTGTAAATGCAACGAATAATAATAATACAAGAAACGAAACCTCATTGCGTAGAGAGAAAATACAGAGAACTGTAATCCCCTTTAAAACAAAACAAAATTCTTTTATGTGCGAGGGTGCCGTTTGTCGATGAAACTTTTTAAACATGCACGTGAGTACGCTACACATATATTCACATATGTGGTGCTCTCTTTTCCCGTACGATTTCCTCTTTGGGTGAGGCAGCAAGGAAGGAGTATGGAGTAAAAGTCAGCTTTGAAGGTCCTGTGAATTGAAAGTAAAACCTGTTTGCCTCCATCGCGTGCCTGCTTCTTATCTGACATCGTACGCACTCACACATTGCCGATAAAAAATAAAAAGGCAAGAATAAGCAACCGAAGGAAGCCTTCGCGGACTTTTTGTCTTCGTTCTTCTGCGAAGTTGCCAGCTTCTTCTTCAGTTGCGTTTGTGCCGTGTATTGCTGAGGTGTGCCGTTTGTCAGGCGTGAACGATTCGTTTTTCTCTCTCCCCACCCCCCACCCTCCACCTCAACGCGTACTTCGTTGCGTCTTATTATATCTTTTCTTGTTTTTTTTTTTTTGTTTTCCATCCCTTTTGTTTGGGGCCTTTTTTCTTTTGCGCACGGCTGCACCGCTGCCTCCGCCTTTTGAGCGGTCTCTGTGTTTTTCCCCCCGCGCCTTGCCTGCTTGTCTCCAACATCTCCGCAAAGTGAGAGATTTAAAAAAAACGGAAAAGGAAGAAAGAGAGTGTGTGGGTGTGCGTGTGTAGGGGCCGCAATGTTGGGACGCGGCAACCAGTTCGCGGCAAGGGGCGAGGGCGGCGTCAAGGCCCCTCTTGCGCCCCTCGGCAGCGGGGTAAAGCAAAGGGTAGGCCAAGACCTGCGGGGCGTTCACGACAAGGCGTCGCAGTTGCTCCCAGTGATCCCTGCAGCTGCGCAGCAACAACGCACATTGAAGTCCTCAGAGGGGTCCAAAAATCCCTTGGCGCTGCTAGCCTCGGAGAGCCGGGCAACCGCAGCTCGCACCAGCTTGCAAGAACAGTGGCGTAGTGCTTTGCTGGAGTACGAGGTTGCCCTGAAGGAACTGGTGACAAACAGCACTGACAAGCCTCCCTCGGACTCGCGACTAGTGAGGACGTTTCAATTGTACGATGCGGTGAGCCGTGTCGTTGCGGAGCAGTCTTTGGAGCTGGCGGATGTACTGAAAATGTTCCGCGTCGAGTTCTGCCGCGCCACGCTGACAAAGCAGGGCCTTAACACCTTCCTCCCCTACCAGGACAGCGAAGCCGTGGATGACGAGCTGGAGGAGCTTGGGCGGACGTACTTTGATCAGGTCGACGTGCTCCTCCGGGAAAACGCGGCACTTCGCATGGAGGTGAGTCTCGGCAACACGCGGGACAACTTGGCCCAGATGAAGGCGCAGATTGAGCGGCTGACAGAGGTGAGCTCCTACCACGCAAATGAGGTGAACCGGCTGGAGCGGGAAAACGGGCGCTTGGCAGAGAGCTACCGCAAGGCCCAGGAAGACCTCGACATGGAGAGGAAAAATAACCGCGCCCTGCTCGACAGGTTTGACGATGAAAAACGGAGGCTGTTGCAGGAGAACAAAGACATGCAACTGCGTCTCTGTCGTCTACGCAAGTACCTCAGTGATCGAGAGTCTACAGTCGTCAGGGATAGTTACAGGAACTTCAAGGAGAAGAAAATGGTTGTCATGGCACGCCTGTTTGACGAGGGGGACGAGCGGGTGTCTATTTTGGTGATTCTGAGTCAGCTGGAAAGTCGTGTCAACGAGGAGCTCGACAGCTACGACAGGGAGTCGTTGCTGTGCGAGGAATCTGCTCTGCCGGAGCATCAGCGGCGAATGTTAAATGTGGTCTCCGTACTGTTGGAAGAAATGCACCTGTGTGAGGAACGCTACCTGCGTATGGTGCCACACGCCCATTCGCTTGTTGCGGAGGAGCGCGACGAGACGGACAGCTACATCACACTCCTGGGAGACGAACGTCTCTACGAGGCGCTTGTGGCAAGGGCCGCGGTGCGGGAAAGGCAGAGTGTCATATTGGCAGAGTCAGAGACAGTGGCGGAGGGGGAGTTGGGGCAAGCAATGGGGACACCCACTAACGTTGAGACCATGCACGACATGAGTGGCGTTACCGCGGATGACTTGAGTTTGCCCCAGGTGCGGCCAGAGCCACAGGAACCCGCGCTGCGGAGGTCCCTCTCACAGGAGGTGGAGTCCATCTTGCGGCAGATGGAATCGGAAAAGGAAGTCGTGAAAGAAGGGCAAGCGAAGGAAGCCGGGGCAGAGGCAGAGGCAGAGGCAGGAGTGGCCGCAGCGACACAAGCAGAGGGGCAAGAGGATGCCATGCAGCTTGCCGTGCCATCAGGGGTGAAGCCACGAGAGGCGACTGCCGAATCGCTTTCGATTGTCAGGAAGAAGCAGGAAGAATGGGTTTCCAATATTTTTGGCACGGCAGTGGAGGCCGCTGACCTCTTGAAGCGTGTGATAAAGAACAGTCCATGTGAGGGAAATCAGACTGATCAGGAGCGACTCATGCATGACTTTATATCAAAACCCATGTTGGACATCAGTAGCAATAAGTTTCAGTGTGGCATAGACATCTTTACAGGTCCAGGTCCCCTGACCCAGGCTTTTCTCTGCTCCGTCAAGCACGTGGACCCCGTCGATCCACTGCAAGTTCCACAGGGCACCAATTTTATGCATCTGAAGTACCGCAATCCATTGCGGGTAGAAGCGGTGTACGAGGATCCAGAGGCAGCGGCGGCAATTGTGCCAAACTCGGACGCCATCGAAGAATGGGGAGGAAAGACGTCGTACGTGCGTGAGCCAGTGGAGCCGGAAGTTCCTGTGTTAAACACTGGGTCGCAAATATTCATTGAACTGAGGCGTCCGAGTATGTTGAAGGCGGCAGCCGCGGGAGTCACTGTGGCGTCCTCCTCCACGCCGGCAACAGCGGTTTTTGAGCGGCTGAATCCCCTTTCTCCCAATCGATCCCCCGAGTGGCTGCTCTACCAGAATATGTTTGGGGGTTACCGTCCCTTGACACCACGACTCATCGACATGTCTTATATAGATCACATTCTGCTGAACTCCTGTGAGCGTCACTTTGAGCGCTCGGAGGAGCGCTACTTGCGTTGCCTCAAACAGGCCCGTGGGCGAGCAACAAATAGTCAGATGGCGTTGAACCTGACGGAGCGTCTATTCAAGGACACGTACGCGTTGACGGATTTTCAGGAGTCTATCATTCGAGAATTAGAATCCCGCTACTGCTACCCGGAGCTTGTAGCAAAGTCGCTCTATGAGATGCTATGCTATCTTGACGCCACAAAGGCTCTACAGCCGTTGGTCGACTTGTACCTCAGCTGCATTCGGGGCTTTGAGTCGCCCTCCCGCATTCACTATATCACCTATGTACTTCACCAGATAAGTGTGAATTGGCCGTCATCAAACCCAGAGGACCCCGTTTTGAAGGAGGATGTTCTCACCTTGCTGGAGCACATTTACAAGGGTGCGTCTGGTGTAACCAGCATGGACGCTAGTGAAATCCTTACGGAGTATCAGATGGCAACGCGCTCCGCCCCCATCACCCTGGTGTCGCTGCGCAGTTACCTGGTAACCGCCATGTTGCACTTTGAGGATCCACTACTGCTGTATTTTAACGGGCTGCTTAGCTACAAGGCGACCTCCAGCGCCGTGGTCGAGATGAACTACGAACAGTTTGAGGGCGCGCTTAAGGCAAAGTGGGAGGAGAAGGTCGAGGGAAAGTTGCTCATTCGATACCTCGCCGCCTCGTGTGGGTTCAACAAGAAGGCGGAGCTGACAACAAAAGAGTTGGCATGTGTTGCGACAAGCATGTGGAGCTCACAACTGTGGATGAATATGTAAAAAGATAGTCCTGGTACCGTTTTTTCGGGGACCCACGCACACACATTTGTATATATACAAGCACATACATGCATTGCCTTTATTCAACTCCCTAACTTTGGCGTCATCGCGAAGTGGTTGCATTGGTGTCGAAAATGAATGATGATGGGCACCCCGTCGCGTTCGACGTGCGTCGTGCTCTTTCAGATTGGCGTGTTTTGCTGGAGGCGGTGGGGCATGTTTATGCTGCGAAGAACTCTGGGGGGAAGTTAGCATGACTCGCGTCTCTCTCTCTCTGTGTGTGTGTATGCCTACGTGCCCACTTTGTATTTGGGGGACTGCGATTCCATGCACCCACTATTCTTTTTTTTGTCTCTCCACCTTCACAGTAAGTGCACTGAGAGCAATGGGCTTGTGGCAGGCAACCTTCTGAAACGTTTTTTTTTTCCTTGCTTTATGCTTCTCCAACACGTTTCCAAAAACGCACACAAGCAGGCCAACGCTTTGAAGAGGAAAGTTTTCCTTATGTTTCCCTTGAAGGCAGGTCGGGCAACGACCGCCGCCTCCCCACGACTGCGGCAGCGGACGCTAGACTCGTTTCTGGTGCCCAAAGGCCCCACGGCACCGGTGGCGGTTGACAGCGCGAGTCACGAGTGTTGCCGCGTCACCTTGCCCTGGTCGAAGGAGAACCGATGCTGCGAGAATGCGGGTCACGTTTGCAACGCCTGGGAAGTTATTATTTCCGTCCTGGCAGAGGACGCCTCTCAAAACACCGATGATCTTCAACTTTTATTGCAAAAACTTTGTTTTTGTGACTCCTTCGGGCGCCTCTCCTCCATGTTTCACTTTGGAATGCTCTGTCATGTGGTTGACCACCTCTTGACCCCCTCGGAACGTGCCGCCTTCTTCGACGTCACATTGCCGTGGATGAAGCGCCTCGTGCGTGAGGGCCCGGTTACCCTCCCGCATGATTTAGAGGCCCTCTTGCAGGGAACGAGCCGGCGCTTAATGTTGACCCATGAGGAGGCGGTTACCTTGTTGGTCTGTGGTTTTTTTTCCCTCTTCCCTGGCCGTTGCTTTACGTCCAACTCCAGACGTGCATCGTCGTGTAAGCTGGCACCCTTTAATTTTGCCGATTTGTTTTGCACGGCGTCTCCAGCTCGCCTTGAGAGTAACTGTGCCAAAATACGGTGTCTGCTAGAGTACTTTATATACTGGTCCCATCACACATCCCCAGTGAAGACGTGTTTGGAGTTTTACCGAGTCTGTTTTGCATCATTCCCGGACTTTGGCAGAAGTTCCAAACCGATGGAGAACATTTGCATGGACTCAAAGGGACGCATTGAGGACAATTATGGAAAACTGCAGGTCGACTTTGCCAACAAGGTGTTGGGCGGCGGCGTTCTGCAAACTGGCTGTGTTCAGGAGGAGATACAATTCGTGACGTGTCCGGAGCTGCTTCTCTCACGGCTTTTAAGCGAGCCCCTTCTGGACACTGAGGCGCTGTTCATGAGCGGTGCCGGGCGGTACAGTCTTTCGGAGGGGTACGCTGGTGGCTTTCGCTTCGTCCGCGGGCAATCACCACATGTTGTGGTCTCGAGCGTTGATGCCGGCATTCCACGGGAAACATGTGTGGAATTTGCGTCAACGCCACTGCGTGATAAGAAGGACGGAAGTGCCATACTGATGCCGAACTCCTGCGTGGTCGCTATGGATGCGGTGAATTTTCAGAATCGTGTGGGAAAACAGTACACCGCGTCGTCGTTGACGCGCGAAACGAGAAAGGCGTTTGTGGCGTTTAAGGGAGCCACCGATAGTACCCTGCCGTCTGTTCACTCGGGTCCTGTGGCAACTGGCAACTGGGGGTGTGGCGCATTCGGTGGGGATCGCCAACTGAAATTGATGATTCAATGGTGTGCGGCCTCTGAGGCTCAGCGATCGCTCATCTACTCCACCTTTAACGACGAAAGCCTCTGCTGCCAGTTTAGGCCCGTCTATGAAAAGCTCCAGCGCGAAAAGTGGAGCGTGGGCAACGTGTTCATGGTGCTGCTTGCTTTTTCTCGTTATTGCACCACATCACCAACGCCGTCTGTTGGCGAGGGTAAGCTGTTTCAGTACATCCTTTCCTTGCAGAGGTCGCTGTGTGAACTTTTGTAGCCCGGCGTGGAACTCGCGTCCTACGCGAGGGAAAGGGAGGTGGAATGCACAAATGTGACCAAACAAGTAAATAAAGTCTCAGAGTTAAGCGCTTCTTATTCTAGTTGTTGTTTGTTTGTTTGTTTGTTTTCAAACTATTTTTGCTTGAATTTCCGAGTAAGTTTTTTGCCTCTTGTTCTTGTTATTGTCCATGTTGTTGTTGTTTTTCTGATGGCGTGAGTGTGTGTGTGTGTGTGTGTGTGTGTTGACGTCTTCTTCCTTCATCTTTGGTGGGGTGCTGGTGGCGCGTGCGCAGGAGCAAGAAGAGGGTAGTGCCATCATGCAGGCAGACGCTGTTGACCCGGCGACCTTCTCGCTGCGCCCGGAGCACAAGCAGAAATTTCGTCCCAGCGATATCCGGCCGGTGGTCCGCTCCATAATTGAGTTGCGGCTGGAAAACGAGGAGTACAAGGCGGATGAAACTCAGAGTATTAGCAAGGAGATCGCCGACACGGTGCGGGATCGCATTCGCGGCATGGGGCTCGAGCGATACAAAATCATGGTCCACTGCATGATTGGAGAGCAGCGCGGACAAGGGGTGCGTGCGGGGTGCAAAATGTTTTGGGACTCTGACACAGACGACTACTTTGAGGAAGTGTACGTTAACCAACACCTCTTTGCCGTCGTGACTGTGTTTGGGCTGTACCAGTACTAATAGAGGCGACGCCCCTCTTCCGGCTTGGCTTCCTGTTGCTGTTGTTGTGGCTGTAGCTCTGGCCGTTTGGGTGTTACTTCTTTCCCCTGTTGTTTGTTGTTGTTTCTTGCGTGCGTGCGCGGCATGCACGTTGTGAGCACTGGAGGCGCAAAGAAAAGCAAAAGGAGGAGGGAGCTTGAAGTAAAACGAGAAACCGAATAGGAGGAAGAACACGAGCGGGGTGGAACAAGGAAGTGACGATGTACAAACCTTAAATTGGCTTCTTTCCACCTTCCCCCTCTCTTCATGGGGCGAGTGTCATGCCCCAGCAGTTAGGGAAGGGGGAAAGGCGCCCGCTCACAACGCCTTCTTGCGTTGGTGTTGGTTTTGTTTGATGTGTGTTGTTGCTGTGCTGTGTGCTTGCCGTGCCGCCAATGGGGCTTTTCTAGCGTGGCACCCCTCTGGGTTCTATCTCTCTATTGTTTCTCTCACTGTCGGGGCGGGGTGTGTGTGTGTGTGTGTATGGGACGAGTAGCGAGGGAGAAGGAGAGAGAATCGATGCCAAAGGCCAGAAGCGCGTCGCTGGCGGCGGCGGCAGCAAAGGGGGCTGTGAGCGGCTGGCAGTTTCTCCCGCCCGACCGCAGCGACAAATTGTTCTGGTTGGCGCTCAATGACTACCTTGCACCGTCCAGGCAGGCAGAGTTTCCACTTGCACGCGAGGAGTTTCGTGACTCGACGCTCTCTGGGCTCACCGCGCCGGGGCAGACCACGCTCCTGGACGAGGACGTCGTAAAGGCGGCGAATGAGGTGCGCGGCTACTACGACAGCGTCTCGCTGTGGAATCCGCTTTCCCTGGCGCATCATCTCGGGATGGGGCTCGCCATGGTCATTGAGCAGTTGCTGCTGGCGAAGGAGTACGGGTTAGTATCCATGGTTTTTGTTGTCTTGTGTCGGTCGTGCGGGTGTGACATGCTGCGTGCGGAGGCCGTGCGTGAGATCTGCTTCCGCGCCACGTACCACCAAACAAATGTTCTCCGCTGCCCAATGTGTACCGACTGCAAGGAGGTAACGGATTTGGAGGATGTGGGGGTTTTCTTTCAAGATCGCCTCCCAGCCGATCTCCTGCGGCGGAAGTACCACCGCCTCTTCTACAGTGACGAGGCGAATCGACGAAGGCTGGAGACATACTTTTGTCCGCCAGGTGCCGCCTTTGCCTTTCGTATGTGCCTTCCTGAGGGCAGCTACCTGATTATAGCGCCGGGAGTGGGCCTTATTGTAGAGCTTCAGGTTGAGGCCGCCGCCGACTTTATGGGGGGACATTCACCCTATCACGTGGTTAACCTCACACTTGATAAATTACTGGCGGACGATGCTGCGAGTGCAGAACGGAGTGTGAAGGGGCGCCGTCTGATACGCGCCAAGCACGGTAAACTTCTCTGCCGTGTGTTTAACGGCACACCATACGGGAGCTATTTGGACATCTTCGTGGCCTTCGATGAGCGTCTCGAGCTACTGGCCCCGCAGACTCCGCTTGTAACGACTGTCCCTATGGTGCTGCATAATTCCGCGCGAGGCCTACGATCCCCGCTGTTTAATTTTTTTATCCCAAGGCCCCCCGGCACCCGCACCTCCGGCGCCTACGTCTTGCACTCCTTCGCTCTCTCCGCTGATGAGTTTGATGAACCCATCACTTCGGGCACGGACTCGGTCCTTGCCGTCATTCGTGAGGTGCATCGCTACTCCCTGGAAGACCACCATGGCCTCTTGCTCTCTGTGGGGCGTGGCGGTAGCGTGTTTGAGTCCTCATTTCTTTCCGTGACGGCAGCGCTGGCATCCTCGCTTTGTCTTGCGCAGCGCGTTGTATCACGCCTTGGCGCCAATGTGGCTGCCACCCTGACGTGCATTATCGTACAAGGGACGATGTACATGGCCTCCTTTCAGGGGCAATACGACGACGATGCAAACGTGCGCTCCTCATATCCCGACGTGGATATCGTGGGGCCGGCGGTGTACGCGGCGATGCACCCGCCCGTTGCCCCGAGGGAGGCGAAGGGCGACGCGGGCTCCGTCCAGCCTGCGGACGGCTTTCTGCGGATTGAGCTCCGGTCTGCCTTGGAGCAGCAGGCGGGCGTGTGTCTTGACCCTGCCGCTGCGGACGCGATGTTTCCCTTTCTTCTCTCCTACCTTGGGGATCAGCTCGACTCTTTCCGGGTTTTCACTGAGCCTCAGGCACGGGTAGTGGTGGTGCCGTTCTCGACGCTGAATGCAACACTGATGTTGCCCTCCCTGCTAGACCCCGCCATGTACACAAAGGAGTTGTGCGGCCCCTTCGCCTGACAAGGCGATGCAACAGCCAGAAGAATTCAAAAAAGGAATGAAAGGAAGCTGCGTAGTCCTAGCCAATTTTTGCAGCTGCTCTCCGATGCCTGCGCACCTGAACGAAAAGGAGAAACTGGGTGGCTTGGAGGGACGGATAGAAAACACGTGATGCCTCTGCAGTAGCTGCGCGTGCGAGGTCAACAATGCACACGAAACGAGTCATGCGACGACACAGGAAGACATGGAAGGTTGTTGGATGGGGCTTGGCGTCCCCCACACCTATTTTCTTTTCAAGACAATAGTGTTTGATGTAATCTTACACATGTATGAAGGCACGAAATCGCCCTTTCATGCGATGCCCTCTAGATGGGAAGAGATGTGAGGGCTGTGAATTACGTGTTTTCCCCCTCCCTCCTTTTTTTTTTCTTCATGTTGTAGTTACTCTATTCTTCTCTTGGGCACTCTTCTTGTATTGTTCTGGGATGAGTTTTTTTCTCCAGAAGCCGCCGATAAACAACCGCCTGCCGTGGGCAACACGATTTCTCTGTGTGCTGGAGCCACTCCCACTTTTTCCCCTTCTCCCGCCCTATTTTCTTATTATTATTTTTTCCTCCTTTTTTTTCCCCTCCCTCTTACACTCCGTTCCACTCTCCCTGCATCCAGTGCACCTTGCCGCCGCTGTTATCACTTTGTGCCTCTTATTTTCCTCACACTGCCACTTGCGTGCTGGGCCACCGCAGCCAGGAAGACGGAGAGAGCGGGTGGCGGAGGATGCGGCGCCTGCGTGACAGCGGTGCTAGTGGCATGACAGCCAAACCGTCGCTCTTGGCGCTGCTGGCCGTTGCAACGACGACGACGACGACGACGTCGGCTGCGCAACCAGTGGTGCGCACACAATACCGTCGGCAGTCATTTTTTGGTGAACAAAGAGCAACGGCGCGGCGGTCGCGGCAGGCGCACAGCCATCCATTGGCACCGAAAGACCCTGCCGCACGCAACATCGTCATCCCAGACGCGGTGCACGCCAAGTCCCGCTCCGCCGCGGTGCTTCCCGCAGAGGTGCTGCAGAAACGGGCGCAGCGTGCACTCCTGATGCAGCTGCAGCAGAACCTTGTCTGGGAGGGCACCGTCATTGACGATGAACGGCACGACTTAATACAGCACTTTCTGAAGCTGCGTCAGAACCCCAAGTACCGTTCCTCAAAGCAAATGATGATCTTAGGCGGCAAGGACATGTTGCGGGAGCTGTTTGAGGACGGGCACGCGCCGCGGCATCTTCTCATCCGGGGCACACAGGAGGTCCCTTCGTGGGCGAAGAAGAAAGGGGTAAAGACGGAGATTGTGCGCGTCGATCGACACGTGGCGGAGGTCTGTGCCCCTGGCAACGACGGCTACATTGGTGACTTTGACATTCCCCCACCCCCGGCAAAGGAAAATATTATAGCCAACAAGCAACGCTTTGACCGCGTCCTCGTGCTTGACAACGTGGACGAACCGGGTTTGCTGGGAACCTTGCTGCGGACCGCCGCTGGGTTTCAGTACGACGCGATTATCGCGACCAACCACTGCGCTGACCTTTACGACCACCGCGTGGTGCGGGCAGCTCGCGGCGCCCATTTTCAGAAGGGAGTGCCGATATACACTTTGAAGGACGAGGACGGTGATGACGTATACGGTATGCTGAACCACATTCTACAGAGGAACAACATGGCCACTGTTTGCTTTACCCCTGTCGATGACGACGTGGAGGATAATAATACCGGCCAGGCGCCACACTTGACGCCATGCAGCTCCACTTCCCATGTGGTCCCCGTTGCAAGGGAGGCGCTTTCGGACTACTGTCGTCGCTGTTTCAGAGATGAAGAGGCGAGGGGTCAGCTCCTCATCGCGGGCCCGAATCATAAACGCAATTCGCTGAGAAGGTGGTCCAAACGGCTTGCCGGCCCCGTAACTCAGTTGCTACTTGATGAGGTGACGCAGACGGATTCGTTGGTGGCGCTTTCTATCGTTCTTCATGCCCTTCGACCGCATGGAAACTTGGATTACCTCCCCACAAGCGATGCACATGGCAGCCGCGCCGCGGGTCTGGAGCTGCAGACACTGAAGGCGAGGGTTGATATTGGTGCGGACCGTCTGGACGTGCGCGAAGCGGACTTGAACCTTGATGAAGAAGAACAGGTAGAGAAGGCTCGATTTAAGAATGAGTTTATGCGATGGAAGCGGCTGCAGCGTGGGAAACTGAGCGACTACGAACGCTGGATGGAGGCGGAGACGCAACGTGTGAGGGAAATGGCGGCGAATGAAAGGCGCCGGCAGGTGATGCCGTGGGCTCGACTGCGTTGGCGTCACCAGAAGGGGGCGGCGGGGCTGCCGCCGTCGGTGCCAAACATCATTGACGAGTACCGTATGCCGCTTGATCGTGACGCGCTTCGTGAGGAACAGGAGTTAAGTGTGGACTACGTGAGGCCGGAGAACTATAACCGGTAGGGTGCTGGTGGACTGGGACCGCCGTGATCCTTGAGGCGGACCAAGCGTAATAGCATTGGGAGTTGGTTTGCCGGTGGTTGATTTTGCCGTCACCCGCCACGCAGAGAGAGACGCCCTACACTGCACCGCCAGTCAGACGGTTTGCCACTATTCGAGGTGGCGTTGCAAATGCCACTGTCGCCCTCCATTGCCCCCTGTTTCTTGACCTAGGAGAAGGGTAGGGATGACATTGTACTCCATCTACATCTTTAACCGCTACGCCGACAACATCTTCTACATGCAGTGGAAGCGAACGAGCGCGGTACAGGATGGCGAGGCAAGCCTCGTCGCTGGCTTCATTTACACACTGCAGCACTTGTCGTCCCAACTCTCCTCCTCGGGCACAGGTGGACTGAGGGCAGTGCAAACTCCACTCTATAAGCTTCATTACGCCGAAACGATGACTGGGTACCGAGTCGCGCTACTCACGGATAGGAACGTGGACACGGCGCTGGTGCAGGGCATATTTATTGAGCTGTTTCGTGGTGTTTTCCAGAAAACTGTTACCCGGGATCTAAACTACCGTCACGAGCCTGGGTGCACGATCACCAACCCGGAGTTCGCGGAGGGGCTGGAGGCTCTCTTCCGTTCGAAGCAGCTGCTTCCCTGAAAAAGCATCCTCATGTGCTTTTTGCGCTTTCCCTCTTTTTTTTTTCTATCTCCCGCCCACACATGCGTGCCCTGCCCAAATGCATCTACGTGATTGCAGGATGGCTCCCCCCGGAGGCTAATTCAACTGCCGAAATGTAAACATTTTCATTTTTTATTTATTTATTTTTTTTTTTTTGCGGGGTGGGGGGGGAAGCGGAGGAGTTAGCTCCTTCTTCTTGGGCTTCGCGCTTTAGGTGGGGTGAGGCAGCGAGGGTGGCGACAAACGGTGGGGCGTAGTTTGCGGTTGGAGAGGTGCGGGATAGTTCCCTTCTGGCTGTTTTCTTTGCGGCTCCGATCTTGCGACTCCCCCTGCGCGGATGGACGACGGCACAGGCCACCTGATACGCCCGTTTTCCATCATCGGCGTGGGTGCCTACGGCACCGTCTTCAAGGCCTTTCGGCTGCCCAAGGAGTACGGAGACAAGGAGGAGATGTGGCGCAGCAGCAATGCACAGGCCGTCGCGGTGAAGGAGACCGTTTTCACGGATGTGGCGGATGACATCACTGTTGTGCTGAAGGAGGTTTCGTACCTCACAAATCTGCAGCACCCGAACATCGTCTTATACTTTACGGCATTTACAAACCCTGGTGTAACGTGTGTCGCGCCGTCACTGGACCAGACGGACTCGCAAGGGGAGGAAGAGGAAGCTGTGGCCCTCAGCTTTTCGAAGGCTCCCTCATTATGTATCGTAGAGGAGCTTGTCGAAGGGGCTTCTGTTGCAAAGGTACTCAGGATGACGGCGGAGGGACAACTTTCAAGGGGAGTGTCGGAGGTTGAGATCGCCGCCATACTGTGCGACGTCCTCCAGGCACTCCTTTACATACATGAGGAATGTCGTTTGGTGCATCGCGACATTAAACCGTTGAATATGCTTATGGATCGTAAGACCAACTCTGTGAAATTGTGTGACTTTGGAACCTGTGCCGATATGAGCCAGCAGGCCGGGCGCTTCACTGTCATTGGCACCATCGGCTGGATTGCGCCGGAGGTTCTTGACAGTGGGATGATGGACTGCCGCTCCGGCCACGTCACGTCCCACAGCTTTCCTTCGGATGTGTGGTCCCTTGGCGTCTCTGCGCTTGAAATGGCGTTACCGACCATTCGAAAAACGGCCTTGTCGGAGTACATCAAGGACTTTAGCGCCTCGGCGTGTTCTGCCCAGCCGACGGTGGAGACGGCTCGTAGGGGTTTCCTGTACGAGAAAATCCCGTCGGAGCGTCTGCGCGACTTCATAGCATGCTGCCTTCGGAAGTCCCCACAGGTGCGCTCGACGGTTCGCCAGTTACTATTACACCCCCTCATACTGGAAAACGGCGTGGTAAACGCGCAAGAGCGACAGAAACGCATATCGGCCATCCTCGCCGCGGTGAGTGCGGCCAGCAAGTCCAACCCGGCCTCAAAGGGAAAAATGGTTGATGACGCCATTCTTCTGCCGCAATACGCATCCTCTCTGCACTCTAAAAATCGTTGCATGGAAGCCATAGCAGCGATTAAAAGGGAATTCTTTGCCGCCCAGTCACCCCTGCCAGAGAAGTCTCGCGCCTCGCACTACGCATGGTGCTTGCCAGCGCATCTTGCCAGCATGTCATCCTCTGATGAATACCGCTACATGCCAACTCCCTTGAGACAGCAAGGACTTGGTCAAGTGCCCCCCGTTTACAATGCATCGGCAACTATGCGCAGCACAGCGCCTATCAAACCGGTTTTTGACTCCGTTGTTCTGCCTGCTACAGTGGAGACGCAACGTGTGGCGCTAGGTATCATACGAAAGTATCGCAAGCTCGCTGGGGCAAGCACGGCCGAAGGATGGGCGGAAATTGATAGACGCAATGATGCGTGCTACTCACTGGATGAGTTGGCCTGTCAGAACCTAAAGCATGAGCATTTCATTCAGTTGCATGATGATCTCCTACGTACATTTAAAGCAGCTTGTGTGGCTATTCCTGACTTTTCTGAGAGTTTCCTTTCCGCCTTTATGCAGTCTCTAATGGCTTCGGACGATGATCTGCAGAATCTGCGACAGTTCATTGCCTACATTTTACAGTTGCTAAAAGAAGATCTTGTGCACACCCATCGTGCCCAATTAGAGACGCCAGACTACAAGACCTCGAAGTCCAAAAGCCCCGCAGACTCTTTTGGCCGCAGTTCGCATGCAATGCCCTTTGTGTCAGCCGAAGATTTTGTGCGCTTTCCACGCATGCCCCAGTCGGCAGGGTTCGCGGATGCGGATGATTGCGGCGGTGATGCGGCCACGGATACAATACAGCAAAAAGCACGCCTAGTAAACCCCTCGGCGTACTTGTTTAACACATGGCTGAGGCGAAAGCAGGGCGAGATAATGGGTCCCCCATGAAGGCTGCTAAAGCGACGCGTAGAAGTTAGTGCGGCGTATGCCGTTGTGTGTGTGTGTGTGTGTGTGTGTGTGTGTGTGTGTGTGTGTGTGTGTGTGTGTGTGTGTGTGTGTGTGTGTGTGTGTGTTGTTT